TTGTCATGCCTGTTTGAAAGATTAATACCAAACAAACAGTGGAATTTTAGTTCTAAACCATCGAAACAAATTGTGGTAGTTCGTGTTGGAATGTGTCCCACATTACCTAGAGTTGCCCTATCTATGCTAGTTATAAGGTTCCAGTTTTCCTCTTCTTAATACATGAATTTTAAGTAGGGTTGTTCAAAAATCCGTTAAAATTGGTAATCCGGACCGAACCAGACCGAACTATACGGTTTGGTTCGATTCTATTAAGAACTGATTCAGTTTCGGTTCAAGAAATATTGAGAACCATAAAAATAGTTCAGTTAATGAATTTTATGAAAAAACCACGGTTCAAACTGAACCGAACCGAACCAAACCGAACCGATTTTTTTAAAAAAAATATATATAATATTTAGCCTTCGTTTGGTAATGACTTTTTTAGTTAGCTTTTTGGCTTTTTTAGCCTGAGACTTTTTTGTTCATTTGGTATTCTTAATTGGCTTTTTTGGCTTTTTTTGTTTTGGAACGGTGGAATTTTTTTTTGCCTTTTTGTGATTTTTGATTTTTTGTGATTTTTGACTTTTTGACTTTTTTTTTTGTCCTTTTGTGATTATTTAGCCCAACAGGTTTACCAAACAACCCCTAAACAACAACAGTCCTTAAACCATGCATAAGTGTTATTTAATAAGATATATATAGATATATATATATATATATATATAATATTTAATATTATCATATCAAGTTTTATTTTTACTAATTGATTTTTTTTGTAATTTTAATGATATTAAGATGATATAAATATGTAGTGTTGAGTAATACCTTCATATTATTAGTTTTTATCATGAGTTAAATATAATCAGTTTGAGTAATTACTTTGTTAATATTAACAATTTATTCTTGTAAATAGAAATTTTTGGAACCGTGAACCAAACCACTACCGAACTGTTATTTCGATTTGGTTCTGGTCCAGTTTTACAAGTGTAATGGTTTGGTTTGATTCTCAAAATCACAAAACCATTAGGATTGGTTTGGTTCTTGGATTTTCTCAAAATCGAACCAATATGGACGGTGTACACCCCTAGTTTTAAGAAGAAGTGCGGACTAGGCTCTTCAATTCGGTATCAAAACTTGGTTAGGCCTGTGATTGGTGTGTCGTGTGTCTGGCTACTGTCTGTTGTGGTCTAGGAGGGTGTGTTGGAATGTGTCCCACATCGCCTGGAGTTGCCCCATCTGTGCTTGTTATAAGACTCTGGTTTTCCTCTCCTTAATACCTAAGTTTTAAGGAGAAGTGTGGGTTAGACTTTTCAATTGTTCAGGCGTAGACCACCAAACAAATGGTAGTGGTTCGGGGTTTAGACTACCGAACTAGACTTGCGAAGATCGCAAAGGATGTGAGGATTGTGACGATCACTCGAGAAGAGAGGGTCGCCATCGCCTTTGTAGTCGCGATCACGATCTCGTGCTCACGAAAGAGATATAGAAACATCATGGTGTAGAGATGAATTGAAATGGGTCATCGAAGTTTGGAGGGTGGCAGAGAAAGGTCTAGGAGTGACGTAGGTGATAGCATTGCTGGTGGTTGATGAGTGGGGGTAGTGACAATAGCGGTTGAAGTTGGAGCTGTTGGTGGTGATGGTGACAAAGGTTGTCAGCCAGAGTGGAGGTGTGGTCGGTTAGGGTTAGAGTTTGGCAGAGTAAAGATAGAGATAAATTTATAATTGATATGAGGACAATATTGTAATAAAAAATAAAATAAGAAATGTGAGAGTCCAAAACAAAAATTTGGGGGCTATTAGTGCGCCATACAAATTTTTTATATCAAATTATGTTTGTCTGTTTTTCATGATGGAACACAAAAATGATATGAAATATGCCCATTTGAAAAGACAGCTGTGCAGTGTAGGGCTAATTACAAGTGCTAAATGTGAAACAAAAATTACCAGGGCTTAAAAGTTGCAACCAAGCCCGTTTGTGAATTGTTACAAGTAAAAGCTTTTTTCAATGACATGATAAAAGGCCCGCTATTGTCCAAAAATAAATAAATAGCATCAAACTCAATTTTGAGCTTTTCAATGCTCTACCTAATATTGTGCTATATTGCAGCATTGCTGAACTATGATAACCTTTTTTTGTTTCTACATCTCTCATGATGCTACTCAAAAACTATATTTGGTGTTACGAATTTTTCAAAAATAAAAATGGTTTGTTTTTCAAAACCCTCTTCATTTCTTAAAAAAACTTTTAAACCTTTTCCCACGTCAAAAACATGAGAAAAATTGATGACTTAATAAAATCTCATATAGAATATTCTTTTGAATAAAGAATTATGAGAAGAAAACTAATGTGATTACAATTAACTCCATATATGGTAGTTAATCAGGTGTAATGAGCCAAATTCAGCGGCCAATAACTTCAGACTAAATATAGACATTGTTCTTAATCCAAAATGGTCTCGTGGTCTATTTAGTCATTTTGTATAAGTAAAATTTTATAACAATCATCTCCTGGAGGAGGGAAAAAAAATTTTAAAATTTAAAAAGCCAAAAGAGACTTTGTGGGTAGGTTATTGAAAGCTCAGCAGCAACATCTTCACATGGCTTGGAGTGTGTCATACCACATCAAGTTGCAAATATATGTCAAAACCAATCAAACTCTCAGTTATTTATCAATGAGGACTGTGAGGATGATAAAGTTGTTATGCTATCCTCCACTTGAATTGAAAGAGCCAAGTGGAAATTTTTTTGACAAATTGCAAATCAGTGAAAGAATGAAAAAGTAACTGTAATTTTATAAAAATCTTTTTGTTTAAGTTTTTCATGATTTTGTTCCACATGTTATTTGCGAAATTGTCCAAATAACACTTGAATGGGCACCTGCACAAAAAAAGGTTTTTTTAAAAGAGCAATTATTTTGCCAAAGTCCCATTTTTTTGCAATTCTGCGCCAAAAAAAGAAAAATTCAAGGACAACACAATATGTATGCACATTCAAAAATTTTCTTATACTATATTGTATATGCCTACCCTTTAATGTTCATAATATGTTCACACTTTTAACACCACCCTACTAAATTATTCCTGCAGCTTAAAAAAAAAAAAATCTACCTTTATTATACTAGCCATATTAGTTTGGGAAAAATATCATTCAATGGTTACTTCAAGAAAATTATTACAGATTTATGATAAAAGTTTGAAATAATGTAAAATTTACGATTGATTTGTAATTATTTTTTAAAATTTACACCAAATTGAAATTTTCTATTATGTCAGGCAAAATATAAAGAAAAAGAAGTGGGAGTTATTTTCTTGAAGCTAACATATTATTGCTTTCATTGTGGCAGAGTGACAATTACTTGTAGGCGGATATGAGTCACCTGAGCCATAAATTGACAGCTCCATATGTGTAGCATATAGATGGATATGAAATCCCAAGAATGTGATATATATACCTACATAAAATTTATGTAGATATATATATATATATACACATGTAATTTTTAGTTGTGAATTTATCATTCTGAAAGTAAAAAAACTCATCAACGTATTATTTTATTACAAAAAACCATATGCTTCTCGTGAGTGGATTAAGATTGAATTTGTTGGGTCATATTTGTTTATTGAATTAAATTGAATGAAATCATAAGTACGGTGAGATTGATTGGGGAGATTGATATTAGGTTGTAGATGTAAATGAATTTTGTATATGGAAAATGAGTGAGAGCACTAATTAGTGCTATCACCAATGATGTGGCAGTGGGCCCACCAGGAATGATTTGATGTTTTGGCCTTGGTATTGTATTTTTTTTCTTTTTTTATTGAGTGCCATGTCATTAGTGGTCTTTTAGAGCTCCAAAATTAGTAGTTTCTATCATTGTTGTTTTGTATATTTGTGTACTTGTGTGATAATATTAATTGGTTAGGATTAAATTTATCAAATTACATAAATGTTCTCGTTGTATGAAATATGACTTTGTTATTTTTATAAAATGGGATAATGACGTCAACCCAAAACTGCCAAGGGATTGTTAATCCTCACTTCAAAGGAATTTCATAATCTCATATAATTTTTAGTTTATAATAATTTTTTTAAACTAAACATATATATTTGTGAGATTCTCGGATTAACAATCTAATCCTTCCACTTCCAACTTTTAAACAATTAATGGATTAATGGATTAAACCATTTAGCTTATTGGAGAAAAGTTGAACACTATAAAAAATTTAACCATCACATCATTGTAAAAAAATTATTTTAAAAAAATCAAATAACAACATTTAAAAAATATATATATTTGGCTAATATCTACATATTCAAACTGATTATGCAGTCCTTATGAATTGACTCAAAACTACTGGTCCCTCATACTAAAGTTGCTTTGTGGGGAAGTTTGTGATCGCCATATATTGCCATAAAAGTTAAACTAGTTGAGGTTAGCCTATTCAGTTTTTTAATTTTTTTTAATGTTTAACTTTTTTTTTTTAAAACACAAAAATTTGTTTGACAAATTGTTTCTAAATACTATTTTTGAATATATATACATATAAAATAAAATCCTTTTAGGAAACACCAAAAAATTATTTTCAAATTATCAAAAATTACTTGTACACAAAAAATAAAAACTAAGGATTTTTTCAAATTTTCATTTTTTTATTTAAGAAAAAAAAAAGGGCCCTAATATACTCGCATGAAATCACTAATGATTGTATTGTGGCATTAATGCAGCTTAATTACAGCTAAGAATGAATAAATGAGGACATAATGTTGATTTTGTGACAGAGGATCTCTATCTTAACAATGTGCTATCCAAAACCAGACAAGTTAGACAACTGTAGCCAAACATAAAATTATGCCGTTAAAATTCCATGGTCCCCGTCTAAAGCTTGTCACTTTTTGAATGACAAATGTTCATCATTAAATTTTATTTCTATTTTTTTGGTTTTTTTGGTTTTTTTGGTTTTTTTTTCATTGTTTTTCCTTTTTTTTCTTTTATTGCTTTAGCTAGAAAGCATTCCCACTCACTCCTTTGACAGATCATCCATCATGTGAGCATTGGTCACCACTGTTTTTGCCTTTTTTTGTGTGTTGTGGTTCTGCTTTTCTCTCATTTTCCTTTTGAACTTTTCTTGGTTCCTAACCGTATCATTCTTTCCCTTTCTTCACCTTTCTCATCTTCTCTTTATTTGGTTTTGAACCTGTAAATCACTCTCACAAAACTCTCTCTATCTCTCTTCTCTCTTGAATTCAGTCATGGAAAGTGAGACTACTGTTGTTTCAGATCATTCTTCTGCTCCAGCCGAGGTAATCTTTTGTGTTTTCTCTGTTTTTATTTCAGTTCTAGATTTGTTTTTAAATTTAGTGATGAAAACTATCTGGGATTTATTTTTGTGTTAATAAGTGATTAAACTTTGTGAGTATATTTCACTTTAAATGGATTAAAGCTATGATTATGGATCAACTGAGAATGACCCACTTTGATATGCTTTGTTTTTCTCATTAATCAATCTTAGTACATGATACTTTGGTCATGATTGTGAATTTTTGGGACCAAGGCCCACATAGAAAACCTCCCAATCTAGATTTGTTTTATGTTTTTTGATTGGCTTAGATTTGTTAATTGTTTATGCTGCTGGCAAATCAGCTTGTTGAACATCTCTACCATGAAGATATTCAAAAGCAGCTAATTTTGGTACCAATATGAATAATAAAGCAGTTTCTTGTATAAAAATTGAAAAATCTTCAAGATTTTCTAGGCTGTTCTCATTACAATTCATGATTTGTCTTCTCCTGGAAAATACTGCCCTTGGAAAAATCAGACCTGGATTATAGGATGGTAGAGGAAAGGTTCTCTCTCTCTCTCTCTCTCTCTCTCTCTCTCTCTCTCTCTCCTACATATATATGTCTACTTTATATTTTTATTCCTTTCTATATTTCTGTTTTTGAAATATCATAGTCATATGTTAGATCAATATGAAAATCTTGTATCTATGATAGTTGAATGTTTTCTATAATTGTTAAATTCTCAGAGTCCTCTCACAAATATGATTTCAGTATTATAATGATTTCAGTACTTTTTAAATTCTACCAAAGAAACCATTGTTGTGTGATCAATCAGTTCCATTTTTTTTCAGAAAAGAGCAAGTAAATTAGATACCACTATATTATATATGTTCATCACTAATCAATCACTATTAGATGGAAAAGCAATACCATTTTGTGATCGTGGTTTAGTACTGCCTAGTTGCTTGTATTTGGTTCACTTTTAAATTTGATTTCTCCTTTTTCTTTTCATGAATCTTTGTTTTGTTCCTGGCTTTAACTTTGATCTAGATGGCGACTTTTACAAAATACAGATACTTTCCTTCTTCTTTACTCCTTAGTTTGATACCAATCAATTTTGCTATCAATGCAGCAAATCGAGAAGGTGAATGAAGAGGTTAAAAAAATCGAACAGGAGGGTTTGCCTCCATCCAAGGGAAGTGAAGAGGAAGAAAAGCCGAAATCTAAGGAATTGCCAAGTCAGCCTGCCCCTTTGTCTGAATCGGAAGAAAAAATTGAAGATAAGCAGATTGAGCCTCCTCTAGCTGAAGAGGTAAAGAAAATTGATGGAACTCCCGTTTTGGATGTTTCAGTTGAAGATAAAGCAGACACCTTTATTGTTTCCGAATCAATAGCAGCCGAAAAACAGCCACAAGAGGAACCAGAAGTTGAGAAACAACTGGAAGAGGCACCAAAGATGGAAGATGTCACTAAGCCATCAGTTGTCGATGACAGCACTAAAAGCCAACCACAGGAGGAACCGGTAAGGGAATCTGTTGAAAAGGAAGCGCAAGAGCCCCAGCCAGTGGAGGTTGTTGAGAAGGAACTCGAGGTGGAGCCAAAAATAGGTGATAACCCCAAACCATCAGTTGAAGTAATTGAGGAAACAGCAAAAGTGGAGGTTTTACCTGTCAAGGAATCAGAAACAGTAGTTGTGAAAAATACAGATATTTCCGAAGTGGAGGCTAAGAAAGAAATTCCAGCAACAGTAGTAGCGAAAGATATTGATATTTCAGAAGCGGAACCTAAGAAGGAAGAAATTCAGGAACCAGTGCCGGATGTGGATGATAAGCCACAAGAACAATCCGAAGTTTCTGAACAAGTTGAGAAAGAATGTGCAGAGGTTGAGACTAAAGAAAGTGTCATAGAAAAAGAGGAAGAGACTTCACAAGAGCAACCGCCAAAAGAGGTGGTTGAGAAGCAAGCCGAGGAGGAGCCAAAAATAGCTGATACCCCTGAACCGCCAGTTGAAGTTGTTGAGAAAACAGAAGAAGCAGAGGTTCTACCTGTCAAGGAATCAGAAACAGTAGTCGCGAAAGATATTGAAATTTCAGAACTGGAGCCTAAGAAGGAAGAAATTCGGGAATCAATGCCAGAAGTAGAGGATAAACCACAAGAACAGTCTGAAGCTGTTGAACAAGTTGAGAAAGAATGTGCAGAGGTTGAACCCAAGGAGAGTGTGAAGGTTGAAATAGTGAAAGAGGAAGAGACTTTGGCTGATAAGATTGAGCAAATCACTAAAGAGGAACCTATTGTGACAGAAAGTTCAGATCAAATTACATCAACCAATGTGGAAGCTCAAGTTGATACAAATGTTGTAGAAAAAGAAATAGTAGGTGAGAAAGAGAAAGAACTGAATGGAACCGAGGTGGTTGAAGGTGTATCAAAACAGGAAGTTGTGGAACCAGGAAAGGTTGAATTAGAGAGTGAAGGAAAGAATGTTGAAACTGAAGAGAACAAAGAGAAAGAAGGCATGACTGAGGAATTAGACAAGCCTAAAGTAGACAAAGTTGAGGATGTCGTTACTTCAAGAGACATTGAACTTGTTGCTGAAAATGGAAAAGAAAGCATAAAAGATGAGACTGTCGCTTCAGTTGAAACAGAGAAAAATGGAGAGGTGGAGGGAGAGGAAGTCACACCTACTACTGTCAAAGAACCAGTTGAAGAGCCCAAGAAACCAGAGTCAGAAGTGAAAGGAGAGGAAAATGTACAAACCAGTGAAACCAACCTGGAGAAAGTAAAAGAAACTAGTGAGATAGCAAAACCTGATGTTCCAGATCCTCCCAAAGAAGAGGTTTCGACAAAGCCTACTTCGAAACAATCAAATAACCTTATAGCAAAGGTGAAGCAATCGCTAGTGAAGGCAAAGAAAGCCATCATCGGAAAATCACCCAACTCAAAAACAGTCTCTTCTGAAACCAAAGGTGACGTTAAAGACAAATAATTGGGCGAAAATGCAAGGATTTCCTAAAGCCCGGTATCTTTAATTGTTTTGTGTATAGTGAATTTGTTTGGTTGTGCAATGTTTGTCGATTTCTGTTGGTCATTTGGCTTGTTTGTGTGACTAGCTAGTGTGTTTATAGACATTATACAGAGTGGTTTATTGGTTTATTCAACATTGTGAAGTTTTAGGCAGAGAATTTTTTTTTTTGGTATTTTTTTTCCTTCTTTCTGTTCATTCTTTTCAAGGCCTGTATGTAATAGTCTGTGTGCTGGTTTTCAGTTGTTTGAGAATTGGAGATGATATATAGAATTCTGTTACAGTTGTGATTATTGCTTTCATTATAGTTATATAACTATTTTGAATTTTATATTTAATTTGACGGGAGAATTTTTTGTTTTCCATTGAACTGCTAGTTTATAACATACCTTGAGCCTTAGATGGGATCTCTTCACCAACTTTATCAATGCAGTTTTTTTCTGTGTTTTACTAATGTCCAAACAGGTCCTCCCTCAACTCAACACCTCATACCTCATCTCAGTCACTTGGTATCAAAGCAAAGTGGAATGTAATGACATGGTTTGAGTTCAATAACCTTCATGGAGTGCAGTAAATGGTTTTTGCTTGATTGCTGCATTGACATAAGTTGCATATAATTCTAGAAAACCTTTGACCAAAGCGTGGAGTCACAGCCGATCATTCAAAGGAAAGTGTAAGAGATTATAACGTATATTGTAACGCAATTATAGCCATATATAGATCCATGGACATAGAGGGCCGGTTTTGCTAATCTTGAGCAAATGAAGAAAGCAATTATAACCACATGAAACTTTATGACTTCAATGCATTCATGAAATTGAATAAGATGTTATCTGCATAAAGAGCTTTATTTATTTTGCGCGAGTATGAAATGTCCAAAGAGTCATCTGATTAGCTCAAAATGAAGAGATTTATGGCTCTAATGCAATTGTGACATCAAGAAGATATGGCAGATGGAAATCCACATATTGAGTTAATCCAGAATCTCCAAATAAACTAATTTAAAGATTTTTTAACTCAACTTTTAGATACAAAACATGTATTGTAAGATAGCTACTGTTTCATTAATTCAAAGAATGGTTCCAGAATACAGTTCTAAATACATATACTACGAAAATCAATTCTTCTGATTGCACCAAATGCACGGGAGAGACGTATATTAATGTACACAACAGAGAGATTTCGAGTCTCTTGAACATACCAAAACCTGTGCAACTTGTAGCATTACAGTCCAACTAGAACTCAGATGGTGGTTACAAACTACACCCGTACAAACATGAAATGAACATAAAGTTCGAATCCAATAGACTCAAAAATGATTCTGCCTTCTCTGATGACGAGTTTAGCACTGGATGTCAGTCACCACCTGCATAAAAAAGTGCAAATTCAGGTTTTCATTTTACAAATCACTTCCTTGAATTTATCACATCAATGGAAGATTAACTAAAAGGAATTGCCAATCATCTCCACTTAGAACCTGGTACAATGTCATTTTCCTTGGTCAAGTTAACATCTTCACTGCTGCCGACATCTTGAGGTTGATCATTTTTAAGCACTACAGAACACTGTTCAAAACCCTCGTTTTTTGCCTGACACTGGCATTGAAAACCACACAAGTTTAATGAACACCAACCAAAGAGAACAAAATGTTTAAAATGACAATGATTGGAATTTTGCACAGTTAGGAGATTCTAAGTAGGTTTTGATTTGCAATATTCTAATACAAAAGGTCGAAATGACTGGTTCATCTTCGACTGATTACATGTTATCAGTAGTGAGAGAATTGTCAATTAATACACAAATTTAAGAGTTCCTCTTTTTCAGGCACCCAAAAACCTTAAAGAAAACCAAACACGAAATGCTACAAGGAAGTTGAGGGATGAATAAAGATAGCTCATCAAAATTCTAGTTTTTCTTCACATGACCCGAAAGAATTTCACAACCATCAAGAGAATTATGTCCTATGAACATCATCGTCATAGTTTTTCATCAGTACAATATGCCCCTATAAAATGTAATGTATATGTGCATCTCTCAATTCCCTTGCAACAAGGACCAAGTAATAGGAGTTTGAAAATTAAACTCTAAATATAATGCTGGATACTGTGCCCAACCACTTCCTTGACAATTCTCACCTAACAGACTTAGTCCCTGCATACTCAAGAGATGATGAACAATGACACGCTAAGTCTCTTTAGACACAAAGAAAGAAAAATATAGCAACAACCCTTTGCCTTAGTTTACTAATACCTTTCCAACTTCCTCATACCCAAAACAATAATAATAAACATAAATAAAAAAAATCTGGAAAAAGAAAAATAAAGAAAGACATAAAGAGGAGACAAATGACAGTATTGGTTAGATTTGATTATACCCATATGGTATATCTCAATTCATCCCTGTTGTCGAATTTTCAAAAGTGCTAAATGTGCAATTGGATATATAGTGTGCTTTAATCCTCATGCGACACATAACTCACTATACATATAGTTCAAAATTCACTTAATGAGACTTCTTGGTGAAAATATAACCACGTGAAGAAAGCACAAACCTGACCAGATGTCTGGTTCATTGGGCAACTGGCATCTGTATTGTTAGTGTGCTCTCTCAAGTCTTTTGAGTTTGAGGATGGAGCTGAATTTGGAACTTCCACAGGAGCAGCCACCCCAGAGGCATTCAGTTCCACAGCTGAATTTATAGGAGGCCCTCCTGAGAAAGGAACCAAGGGTGCACGTGGTGCTGACATGGCAAGTCCTTGACCCAGATGCCCAAAAGCCTGAAGGTTAGGCCCCACCATCCCATGGAAACTAGCTGGCCCCGAAATGGGCGGTGGACGCGGAGCCGGGAAATGACCTTGCACGTGGGGCATCTGAATCATAGGGCACATAGTAGATCCACCATTCATGTCCATCATACCCATCCCAAAACCCATGCCCATGCCCATACCCATTCCCATTCCCATTCCCATTCCAACACTCATGGGTGAGAAATGTGCCATATGAGCTGGATGTACATGTTGCATTCCAGGTGGTAACATCATCGGTGGCATATATAACCCAGCTCCCATAGACATAATCTGTAGATATATAAGAAACGGCAAGGACATAATTATAGTTGATTATACAAATTCTCAAAAGAAATAACATACCAAATAAATTAGTTAAAAGATGAGAAATTTCACCTGTACTTGGAGTTGAAGTGTCTTCAAATACTCTATTGCTTCATCAAGCATTGAAGCTTTGTCCACCTTATTATAATGCCAAAATGTGAAAGTTAGTCATTAAGAAAAAGTAATAATTATAAAAGACAATATAACCGTAATGTTTTTAGGGGGCATTGCATGGTACAGTGGTAAAAAATCAGACCACCAAAAATGAGAATATGGGTTTGATTCTGATGCTGACACTTTGTGTAAAATATACTTATATGTTTAAATTTGTACCCAGTCCAAGCTTGCAAAACCTTCAATTAACAGGGAACGCCACCGAAAAGACCTTTTAAATCAGTAGTACTTCCTAAATTCACGACCATATACTTCTAGTAATATAAATCCAATTTCAGCAATCAGATCCACATTTTAGGAACCAAAGTACAGAATGGACGTGGAGGTAGAATGTCATGCAAATTAAATCTTCTATCCATGAGGTCAGAAGTTATTATTTTAAAACTCTGGTTTAAGTGCATCAATTATACAATTGCATAGCTTACCAAGCAAAGATAGCATGGATTTTAAGAAAATATTGTTTACCTTGTTGCAGTTGGGTATGAGTTCTTGTAATGCACGCATCTTTTCATTAATCCTATCTCTTCGTCTCTGTTTGTAAAAAACAAAAATTAAGTACTAACAAAGGTTTAAAAATACGTTACCAACAAATGAAAATAAAAATAAACTCTAACATCAATATTATTATGAGTCTTTTGGGGTGGATTTGCTCACCCTTTCAGATAAATTGTGCACTTCTGCAGCTCGGCTTCTTTTGGACCCTGCACCTCCTCGAGCAGGAGCTGCTTTTCTTATACCTACTGATTCTTCTTCAACATCCTGCACATAAGTTTATCCTTGTGAAATGAAATGAATGAAAAGATCTGAAAATGGAAGAGTAGAACCCAATATTTCAACTTACTTCACTTCTGCCTTCAGAGTCGTCAGTCTCATGGCATTTTCTCTTCAAATTATGCGTTGGATTCGGATCATTAGAAGCTCTCTCTGCACTATTGCCAGAACATACAGATGAAGAAGCAACTACGGGCTCTACAGTCTTTGCAGTTGAACCAAGAATTTGTTTTGGTGACTTGTCATTCTTAACAACATCTTCTCGACAAACAGCTTCAGATTGTCCAGTGGTATGTGAATCCTCAAGTGCAGCTGCCACTGATTTTGAATCTACCTTAGGTGGCACCAAATTACGTTGATTAAGGGAACCCATTTCATTTCTTAATCCACTACTCAAATCGAGAAGAGCGGAATCAGCAAGATTGCCAGTACTTGGAGCTGTACCCTTATTCTTACCCGCCATCACTTCTGTGCCCGATGTACCCGGAGTGGCCATAGCACCAACATTTTGAAGATTAGCTCGAACAAGAGCTGCGGGCCTGGAAAAATGAGAGAAGTTCATAATGCTAGCGTTAGTGTTTGGCAGTCCCGAATCTTGCTTCTGAGTCTTTATGTTAGGAAGTCCTGAAGCTTGAGCCTGAATCGAATCCCCACAAACACCGTGCTTGGTATTGCTGGCATTATTGCTAATTATACTCGAAACTCCTGATGTAAGAGATGGATCCAATGTTTGACTTTCATGGAATGACCATGGATTGAACTGGCCACTCCTCGATCTCAAAGACTCGCCAACTTCTAAAGAAGAAACCTTTGGTGCATTTGCTTGCTCTAAACTTAAATGTGAACCCCTAATTGTCTGGTTACCACTGTTTCTCTTATCCATCGATGCAAAACTATTCTGGGAAGAGAGCTCATTAACAGTTACACCAGATAATTCGGGCAATAATTCAGAGCAGTAATCGTGTTGTAGAGAATCATCAATGGGATAGCTCAACCAAGGCACCATGTCATCGTCTTGTTCCAATCCCATTTCCCCTAACTGAACCTCTGTTGCAAAATCATCCAAAACAGAATCCATTACCCCAAATCGTCCCATCTTTAAATTGTTAGCGTTGTTCCCTAGATCTTTACCTCGATGTTTTGGAGTCTGAGATTGAAAATTGTTAGTAGAGTTTCTCCTAGCTCTACTAGATTGTCCTTGCATCATGATCTGTCCGTTTTCCCATACTAGCTCCACAAGCTCATTATCGGGTCTGTATTTTCAAACCCACCAAACAACTCTCAAAAACACAGTAACACAACAACAAATCAAGAAAGAACAAGAATAAAAAGCAGTGATGGGTCTCAAATTAGAGAAACGATAACAGTATAGACCTAAACTACACTAAAATTAAATGAAATAAAACTTACCCATGAGATCGATCAGTTGAAAGAGCCATTGTCTTCGGTTGAGCAGATTCAAGGCTCCCTCTCGCCATTCTATAGAACTCCGATAAAGGCATGATGAGGAGCCGACAAAACTACTACTGAGAAAAAGCCCCTAATTTCAGCACTTGGTTGGAGTAAAAGATGTCAACAAGAGTGTTCTGGTGAATTGTAGGTTCTTATTCAAGACTTGTATCATTTGATGATGCCATGTGAACCATTATTAGTGGAATTCATTGCCAGAAAACACAAAACTGCCAAAGCAGTGTAACATCGTCAGCAAAAGCCCAAACCAACTTTAAAGAAACATCTAGCGCTAAATTTCATGACATCAAAGAGAAACATCAAGTCCCAACCAATTTGCTGTGTAAGGACAACTTCACCCAAAGATATGTATACTCATACTGACATACATGTAAAGCATAAATACAAAAATTGTGGAATTCATTTCCAAATTAACCAAAAACAGCCAAAGCACAAACCAACTTTCAAGAAACATCTAGCACAAAATTTCATGACATGAAAGAGTGACTTGAAGCCCCAAATCAACTACTGTGCAAGACAACTTCACCCAAAGATATATATACACACATACAGACATACATAAACAGCATATATGCATAATTTATACAGGGGAAAAAAAATATATATTTTACCTATGTCCTAATCAGAAGCAATATAAAATTAGCGCAAGTGATAAATAAAAAAAAATATATAGTTTACAGTCAAAACCAATTCTTTAATACTAAAGGAAATGATCAATTTGAGTTTAAAATGAATATTTTTTATTGCAAATTCAATCATTAGAATAAGAACTCAGTTAAACCTACATGAGATTTTCCTAAATCAGCCAATAATCTCGAAGAACCCCCAAATTTTTTTATCAATTAATTTGTTTGTCAGCTTCTCAATCATCCCAATTCAAAGGAAATTGATTAAAAAAAAAAAACCACCTCTTCAAAACTAAATTAAAACTCTAACCCAAGAACCTCCAAGATCAGCTCGCACTAACACCCACACACACAAAAAAAAAAAAAACCATCAAAATCATCACAAAAGATTCAGTTTTTTCTGTGAAAATCAGAGTCCTCCAACCTTTACGTTTCTGGGCAATGATAATTCCTCGAACCCACCAACATAACGCTAATCCATATGTATTCACATAGCTTTATCAAAGCTATGATCTTCACCAACCAGTTGTCTTTGAGCTTGAAGCAAAAGAACTAAAGTTCTCCAACTTTAATACAGAGAGAGAGAGAGGATCTAGGCAGTCGTAGAAGGCGGCGAAAAGCTAGCGATTTGCAGGGGTGACCCAGAGAAGAAGGCACATACGATGCCAGACTCTGTGAATGTGAAGTATATGGGTCTTAAACCATGGTTAAAATGGGACTTAACCAGAGTTTATTTTTGAAGTACTGTGTGCTCTCTTTGTACTCGGTGAACAAATTATTTTAGTAATTTTTTATTTTTTTGATTAAAATATAAGATTAAAAAAAATAGTATATTTTGGGTGATTTTTTAATTTTTTACGAAAAAATATACAAAAAATAGAAAAAAAAATCAATCTTTGATATTTTGGTATAAATTATATATTTTTTGACTTTTTTAATAACTTTTTAACTAAAATATTAATTTGCCAAACGAGACCTTAATAATGATATCTACGTTTTATCTTTTATGTAGATTATTTGTGAATTTGATTATTACAAATAATATAATTTAATATTAATTAAAAAAATTAAATTATAATCAAATATTATATTAGATATAATCAAATAACTTTTTGGATTAAAATTAAAATAATATTATAATGTGACGTAACTAACAAAATAATAAACCATAACAAAAGCATAAAATTCATGGCCCAAAAATCATAATCAAGCATGCATATATATGCCATAAACTCTCCCATTGCTTATGCAGAACAAACATGTTTATCATATGCATTCATATTAGGGGTGAGCAGCGGATATATTGATCCGTCAAAATCGACTGAACCGAGCCGATCCGCCGTATTTTGGACGAATGCGCGATGACAAGCGGATGGTTGCGGATTGATTTTCTCCAATCCGCCAATTTGGCAGACGGATGGCGGATTTGAGGTTCCTTTGGTCGCAACCGAACCGCCAAACCGCGAGTACCCTTAGTAATTTATAAGACTTTGTGTTTTCAAATTGTTTAAATATTTTGTTTGTGTTTCAATTGAAAAAAAGTTTAAATATTCTGTTGAAAAAAAAATTCAACTTGAATATATTTTTTGAATTGAAAAAAATAAACGTATTATTTATCTATATTTTTTTATTTTTAAATCTAACTCTAAAAGTAATAAATAGAAAATATGATATATGCTGGTTGGTTTTTGTTTTCAAAAACATATATAAATGTAACAATACAGAGACATATAATCTCTACTACTGCTCTGTTCATAGTTTTGGTGGCTTGAATTATTTTTATATTTTAAGAATGTAATACTTTATGTGGATAAGGCATGTTGTAATTGTAATATGTGGACGAAGCATGCAGGAAAAATGTTTGGGAGCACTAATTAGTGCTCCCACTAATTAGGTGGCAGTGGGTCCCGCCATTAATGATGTGATGTTTTGGTCTTGGAGTTGTATTTTTTTTATTTTTTTTTTACTTTTTTAATGCATTAGTGCTATTAGTGGTGATGTTTTTAGTGGGATGAATCATTGTTGAGCATGCAGTGATGGTGAAATTCTAAAATTTCAAACTTTCTTTATTTAGATGAGGCATGCAGTAATTGTAATACTTTTTTAAGTCATTGACTGTAATACTTTTTTTTTTTTGAAGGAAGTGCACAAGTTGAACTATGTTGAAATTTATAAAATTTCAAACCGCCAAACCGATTCGCATCCATCCGCCAAACCACCAATCCGCTCAATCCACATCCGCCGGATTGGCGGACGGATGTGAATTGATTTTTTCCAATTTACCAATCTAACAGACGAATGACGAATTAAAAATTCCGTGACCACAACCGATCCGTGCCCACTCCTCATTCATATATGTGGTTGCTCTTCTTCACTTGCATCTCCATCACACAAACCTGTACTTTTGACAAAATAACATAGAAACCAAAATGAATATTAAATAAATAAATAAATAAAATAATAAAACTTTATAAGATTTCAAAAAAAATTCATCAACTCATTTGTGTTTTTTTTGCTCTTCTCGTTCTATGTTTAATTTCTATATATTGTTACACAACTTAATGAAACAAGTCTAGTTGAGTAATAAATTATTCTTGACAAATTGCTGGTAATTTTTTTAGTTTGCATTTTGTGTTGATTTAGTTTTAATTCTAATTATATAATTTTTATTCTAGTATATTGTGTTGAATTTGTCCAATTCATAAAGTTTATAAAAATTGTACTCAAATTTAGAGCAAATAGGTTATTCACTCACCTTAAAATGATTCAATGGTTGATATCTAATTTGAAATTATCAGATTTTACTCTTGATTTTGTCTAATTTTAAAAAGGCCTCGTTTGAAAATATATTATTTTAACAATTTTTTAATTTTTTATGAAAAGATATGTAAAAAATAAAAAAGAAAATGATGTGACAATTTTTTTTTAACTTTTTAACTAAAATATTTAGGCCTAGTTTGGAAAGACTAAATAAGTGTACTTTTTGATTTTTTTTGTATCATGGCCTCGTTTGGCAAGAGGCTATTTTAGCCAATTAGCCAAAAAGTTACTAAATTAGCCAAAAAGCCAACAACCTATACCAAAAAGTCAAAGATTCTCTTTTCTCTCTACTTTTTGCACATCTTTTCGTAATTAACCAAAAATTCATCCCAAACATACAAATTTTTTTTACCTACCTTTTTAGCCAAATAGCCAAAAAGTTACTAAATTAGCCTGTTCCAAAACGAGGCCTATGTGTAGAAAAAGTAGAAAGAAGATGTTAATTGATGTGACTCAAAAAATATAAAAAGATGAAATAAGTGCACTTTTTTCTTTGTAGCCAAACTTGACCTAGTCTCCAAACGAGAGTTGATTATGTGGCAATTTGAGAAGTTGGTAAAAGGACAATTTTTTGACTTTTTAGTTTTTTTATACAAAAAAAAGTCAATTTTTTTAGCCAAAAAAAAACAACCAAAAATTCAAAAAATTAATTTTTTATCAACTTCCCAAAACACTAATATATAAAATACTCGAGTTGATTTTAATCTAATTTGTGCCTTTGATTATTGGGTGTGTATAGTGCACGCGCTTGGTAAGAGAGTGAACATTTTAAAAATATTGTACTAATTTATAGTTGTTAGAAAAGGTATTACGTCAATATCCTATTCTATTCTACATAAGTATTGAAAAATGTATAAATATATATTCTGATGTGCCAAAAAAATATAAACATATATATATATATATATATGAATGAATTGAACACACAATTTAAATATATTATCCAGTTAGATTTGACCATAGCATATTTATTTATGGGGTTATTGATTTGATCATCACATATTTAATATTTAATATTTGGTTTATTGTATTTTTATGTTGTAAAAAGCTAAATTATATAATATATTGTGATTAAGTCACTATATTAAATACGTGAAAGGATTGGTAGCCACTTTCTTTGTTTTGTACCATTATGCAAAGGAGTTTGAAAATTGGGGGCGCACAGGATTAATGAAGTCTTTGACTTTAACCCAAAGGTGGCATTATGGTTAAGGCTTGAGGTTTAAGTCACAATGTCACATGTTCAATTCTCTTTTTTCTTAGGTCAATCTTCTGAGCGAAACATAGTTGGTTAGGAAGTTGAATTTCAAGTTGTCTAATCAGTACTTGGCGTAGATTCAATACTCCCCCGCTGTGCGAGTCCTGACTTAAGCGAAATTTGTCTTGGGAGGTCGGGGCAAGTTTCCAAAACGGCTAAGAGGACACCCTGGTGATCTCTGTAATATGAGGTATAAAATTAGTATGTTTAGAATGACTTTTTGTTTTTTTATGAAAAGATATATAAAAAATAAAGAGAAAATAAAATTTTTGACTTTTTAGTTAATTGTTAATTATTTAATTTTTTTAGTAACTTTTTGACTTTTAAGTTAAAAAGTCATACTGTCAAACGAGGCCTAAGTCATTATTTGGTATAAACTAAATAAGTACATTTACTAAGGCTCCGTTTGGGAAGATAGGTTGTTGACTTTTTTGGCTATTTTAGCCATAAAAGACAAAATAATCCAACCCATAATTATTACACTCTTCTCTCATAAAAAAAATCAAAAAAGTCAAAAAGTCCTTCCCAAACCAAGCTTTTTAGCCCAGGCTAAAATAGCTAAAAAAGTCAAAAAAATTAAAAAGCCAACTCACTTCCCAAACCAACCCTTAGATAAGTACACTTATTTAGGTCACATCATCTTTCTCTTTTTTTTTTCATCTTTTTGTAAAAAGTCAAATAATATACTTATTTAGATAATCTCAAACAAATGTTCCTTTCGATTAGCTTTATTGATTTTTTTTTTTTTACCTTTGTAAGAGAAAAAATAAAATAATTATAATTTAAATATAATATTTTATCTTATTAAATTTTTAAAATATTTTGTCTTTTAATAACTGGAGTAAATTTTGTAAGAATTTCTAAGTGGATTGTTTGAATTTGTCCCATGATTATCTTTTGATATTGCTAGATTTTGCTTCTAATGATTGCATATCTTTTGTTCTTTATTTTCTATATGTATATAATTAAAGATACAATCATAAAAAAATTAAAACAAAGAAAATCTGGATTAAAGGTGAATAAACGGTCGTAACTACCCATTAAGAAAGCAACACATAACTTTATTTAATTAGGATTGCACTTTTATGAACATCTTAATTTTATACTTAATAAAGTGGAGACACCCAAATCACTGTCTTTATCCTAACATCTTCAGCGGTACTACATATATCAATTAATGAATACACTAGTGTATCAATTAGTGTTATGATATCATTAATGACCCTATTTATTATACAAATTACAAATACTTAAAATCTCTAAAATTATGTCACATCATTTGTTAGTACATTAATATGTACATTAATTAGTATATATAACATTATTCTAATATCTTAGTAAGATGGATGTAGGATACACTAAATTCGTATTAAACATGTTGCCGTAAATAATTAAAAATAAAAATTTTGTTAACCAGAGATACTTGTTAGAAAATTTAAAATATTTATACATGTAACAAAAAATATATAATTATTTTAAATTTTATTAATCAATACTTTAAGATACTTATTAATCAAACCCTTAGATATATTAAAACACAATAGGTGAATTCAATTAGAGCATATTGGAATTATATTTGGGCCAATGA